CCTGCTCTGTGTGTGACGGGGTAGAGCCGCAACCTCCCCATCGGCCCTGCCCTGAGTGTGATAGGGGAAGGCGCCCCAACCCCCTGATCGGCCCTGCTCTGTGCCTGATAGGGGGAAGCTCCCCAACCCCCTGATTGGCCCTGCTCTGTGTGTGACAGGGTGCGGCGCCCCAGTCCCCCCATGGGTCCTGCTCTGTGTGTGACGGGGTAGAGCCGCAACCTCCCCATCGGCCCTGCCCTGAGTGTGATAGGGGAAGGCGCCCCAACCCCCTGATCGGCCCTGCTCTGTGCCTGATAGGGGGAAGCTCCCCAACCCCCTGATTGGCCCTGCTCTGTGTGTGACAGGGTGCGGCGCCCCAGTCCCCCCATGGGTCCTGCTCTGTGTGTGACGGGGTAGAGCCGCAACCTCCCCATCGGCCCTGCCCTGAGTGTGATAGGGGAAGGCGCCCCAACCCCCTGATCGGCCCTGCTCTGTGCCTGATAGGGGGAAGCTCCCCAACCCCCTGATTGGCCCTGCTCTGTGTGTGACAGGGTGCGGCGCCCCAGTCCCCCCATGGGTCCTGCTCTGTGTGTGACGGGGTAGAGCCGCAACCTCCCCATCGGCCCTGCCCTGAGTGTGATAGGGGAAGGCGCCCCAACCCCCTGATCGGCCCTGCTCTGTGCCTGATAGGGGGAAGCTCCCCAACCCCCTGATTGGCCCTGCTCTGTGTGTGACAGGGTGCGGCGCCCCAGTCCCCCCATGGGTCCTGCTCTGTGTGTGACGGGGTAGAGCCGCAACCTCCCCATCGGCCCTGCCCTGAGTGTGATAGGGGAAGGCGCCCCAACCCCCTGATCGGCCCTGCTCTGTGCCTGATAGGGGGAAGCTCCCCAACCCCCTGATTGGCCCTGCTCTGTGTGTGACAGGGTGCGGCGCCCCAGTCCCCCCATGGGTCCTGCTCTGTGTGTGACGGGGTAGAGCCGCAACCTCCCCATCGGCCCTGCCCTGAGTGTGACAGCAGCGGCGCCCCAACCCCCTGATCAACCCTGCTCTGTGTGTGACAGGGGTCGGTGCCCCAACTCCCCTATCGGTCCTACTCTGTGCGTGACAGGGGGGAGCTCCCCAACCCCCTGATCGGCCCTACTCTGTGCATGACAGGGGGCGGCACCCCTATTCCCCAATTGGCCCTGCTCTGAGTCCGACCAGGGGCTGCACCTAGGGATTGGGCGTGCCCTCTGCCATCCGGGAGCGGGCCTAAGCCAGCAGGTCGTTATCTCCCAAGAGGTCCCAGACTGTGAGAGGGCACAAGTGGGGCTGAGGGACACTCCCCCCAACCCCCGCCAGTGCACAAATTTTTGTGCACCGGGCCTCTAGTCCTATATAATAAAAGGCTAATATGCAAATCAACCAAACAGCAGAACGACCGATCGCTATGACGAGCATTGACCACGAGGGAGCAGACGCTCAATGCAGGAGCTGCCCCCTGGTAGTAAGTGCACTCCCACAGGGGGAGCACCGCTCAATCAGAAGCCTGGCTCACGGCTGGCGAGCACAGCAACAGTGGTAGGAGCCTCTCCTGCCTCCATGGCAGTCGGACATCCCCTGAGGGCTCCCAGACTGCAAAAGGGCACAGGCTGGGCTGAGGGAACCCCCTGAGTGCATGAATCTCGTGCACTGGGCCTCTAGTTGTTTTAATATTTATTGGAGATTTTTTGCTTTTTAATTCCAAGAAATAGAATTGATATCTTCTGGTTGATGGTTTTTTATTTTTTCATAGATTCATCTGAAGACTACATTAGGAGAAAGACTTTTGAGGGCTTCTCTGCATTACATTTTGCTGCACATCGAGGACATTGGAAGATCGTACAGATTCTTTTAGAAGCTGGGGCAGATCCTAATGCAACTACTTTAGAGGAAACCACGCCACTGTTTTTAGGTGAGATATGCTATTTGTGGTACAGATGCAACTTTTTATTTCACTTTTTTTTTTTGCTAAAGAAACTAAGTTTAAGCCTGCTGGCATGGCTTGAGTGTTGATCTATGAACCAGGAGGTCAGGGCACATGCAGGGTTGCAGACTCAATTCTTAGTGTGGGATGTGCAGGAGGTAGCCGGTTAATTTTCTCTCATCATTGACGTTTTTATCTCTCTCTCATTCTCCCTTTCTCTCTGAAATCAATAAAAATATTTTTAAAAAGAAACTAAGCTTAGTTCCTCTTATTCCCACAAACTGTATACCTAAAGTATGTTCTTTGGCAGATGTTATACTGCTATTCTTTGATTCAGAAATCAAAAAGGTATTTTTAAAGGTTTCCCCCTCATTTTACATCCTTGGGTGATAGCCTCTGGAAATATCTTTAAATATATATTTAAAGTTGTAAAATCTGTTCTGAATTGTCATCATCATTGTTGTTCTTGATTTTGGTTTGAAGACCAGGCAGAATATTTTATGTTTGCTTTTTTGCTTTTTATTAGTGTTAAGATGTTAAGAAGATTTTATGGAAGAAATTTCCAGCTAATCTTTTCTTTTTTAAGAAATTTTTTTTTATTGATTTCAGAGAGGAAGGGAAAGGGAGAGAGAGATAGAAACATCAATGATGAGAGAGAATCATTGATCAGTTGCCTCCTGCACGGGATCGAGCCCGCAACCTGGGCATGTGCTCTGACTGGAATTGAACTGTGACCTCCTGGTTTATAGGTCAATGCTCAACCACTGAGTCGTGCCTGCTGGGCTCCAGCTAATCTTTTAATGCCAGTGAATTTGTTGCCTATGGATCACTGTTCAGACTTCTTCAATTATGGACTATTTTTATTTTTATTATGGACTATTTTTTAATTCCTTGAGGACAAAAGCCAAATTCTGAAGGGTACACTTTCAATACCTGTCTTTTTTTCCCCCTCTTCCTCCCTTCGATCCTATTTGTGTTTAGGGACATTTTGGCACATACAGTTTAGTGGAACATGAGAAAATTAAGAGAATAAAACTTTTGTTTAGAATCAGTGTATTTGGACTATTTTTAATCCTGGCACATGTAATTTGTATGTTCATTTATTTACTGAATGCTTCAATTTACTCACTTATAAAATGGGAATAATAGTACATAATTACTCTTTATTGGGATGATAATAAAATAAGATGTCTTTGAGAGTACTTTTTTCTTTGTGAATTTAAAAATATAATTCTTAAAAATTTATGTAAACTTTATTATTTTTAGTGTATAGTTCTATGGTTTTGATGTTTGCATAAAATTGTGTAATGGCAACAACAATCAAGACCCCGAACAATTCCATCATCCCCCCAAATTCTATCATGCTGCCTATTTTTAATTACTCTTTCCTGCCCTCCCATTACCCTTGACAACCACTGATCTGTTTTGATCCCTGTAGTTTGCTTTTTTTGCAGAATGTCATAAATATATATGTACATGTAATCTTCTAGACTAACTTCTTTTTCTTAGCATAATGCTTTTGAGATTCACATTGTTGCATATATCACTAATTTATTCCTTTTTATTGCTAAGTAATGTTCCATTATATGAATATGCCAGTTTACCCACTTACTAGGTGTTAGACATTTGAATTATTTTCAGTGTTTGATGATTATGAATAAATTGCTACAAACATTTGAATGCAGGTTTTGTCTGAATATAAGTATTTCTCTTGGGTTAATGCTTAGGATTGTTTGGTCATGTGGTCAGTGAATGTTTAACTTTGGAAAAAATTTGGAAGTTTCTTATAAAGTGACTATCATTTTGCATTCACTTTGGTAATGTTTGAGAGTTTCAGTTGCCCCACATTTTCTTCAACACTTGGTATTGACACATTTTTCTTTTTTGCTTTTACATAGTAGCTATTTTAAGAGATTTAATTTAGTGGTATCTCATTATAGTTTTAATTTGCATTTTTCTTGATTGCTAATGATATTGAGCATTTTTTCATGTGATTATTTGCTATTTTCCCTCCCCCCCATTAGTTTTGTTTAGAAGTTTTGTTTTGCAATAATGTCAAATTTACAGAAATCCTATATAATAAAAGGCTAATATGCAAATTATCCCCTTGACTGGGAGTTCGACCAGGAGTTCGACCAGGGGGTGGGGCTGACCGGCCAATAACAGTGCTAAGGATTCTTAGATACTTTTCGCCCAAATTTTGTTCTTTTGCCACATTCAACTTTATCATTTTATTTTGCTCTATACTATTTATCTATATAATATTTAACCCTTTGAGATTAAACTGTAGATATAATTCTCTACCCATAAATACTTCAATGTACACTTCCTAAAAACAATGAAGTTCTCTTATGTAATTGCCATGGTCAAAATCAGGAAGTTAACATTTTGATACAGTATTGTTTAATCTATAGATCTTATTCAGTTTTTCTAGTTATTCCACTAATGTCCTTTATAGCAAAATAATAATAATTATTATTTTTGTTCAGGATCCTATCCATGATCACTTGTTACATTTAGTTTTGTATCTTTAGCCTACTATAATTTGAAACAGTTTTTCAGTCTTTATCTTATACTAGAGGCCTGGTGCACAAATTCGTGCACCAATAGGGTCCCTCGGCCTGGCCTGCGGGATCGGGCCGGAACCGACTTTCCGACATCCCCCGAAGGGTCATGGATTGTGAGAGGGCGCATGACAGGTCGAGGGACCCCACTGGGGAGGGATGCGGGACATTGGCCAGCTGGGGAGGGACCGCGGGTGGGCTCCAGGGCATGTCTAGCTCTCTTGCTCAGTCCCAATCGGCCAGACCCCAGCAGCAAGCTAACCTACTGGTCAGAGCATCTGCCCCCTGGTGGTCAGCGCACATCATAGCGAGTGGTTGAGCAGCCTTAGCATATCAGGCTTTGATTGGTTGAAAGGCCGACTGGTTGACCTGATACTTAGCATATTAGGCTTTTATTATATAGGATGATTTTAAAATTTTTCAAGAGTTTGGGCCAATTTATTTTGTAGAATGTCTTTGAGTTTGGGTTTTCTGATGTTTTTTCTTGATAAAGTTCAGGTTATGCATTTCTGGCAGGAATACCACAGAAGTGAAATGGTATCTTAGTGCATCTTATCAGGAAAAATATGACCCAGAACTGGTAATGTTAATATATAAAAGTATTTTGAATATGTGAAATGTATCATTATGAAGATGTTTCATAGATGCCTTGATGTTATATGGTTGAGTTCTCCACAGGAGAGATTGCTTTTTTATATAAAGTTTCTTTCTTTTCCACATCACATCCAGCCTGCTTTGGATATTATGTACAACTACATAGTAAGCTTTCACTATACTAGTGAACCTCTATACTAGTTGTCTTCACTGCAGCGAAGTGAGCAAAATGAATTAAGTCTTGTAAAAAGAGATAAATTTAAAGTGTTCAAGTTATTAAAAGAGGGAAGAATAAGTCACCCTGGATAACAGAGCAAGGTATCATGTGCCTCTAGAGCAGGAATGGGGAACCTTTTTTCTGCCAAGGGCCATTTGGATATTTATAACATTCACAGGCCATACAAAATTATCATCTTAAAAATTAGCCTGCTATATTTGGTCAAACATTTAATTAATCTCACCCCTAATGCCTTGGCAAGGCCAGACCAAATGATTTTGCAGGCCTTATACGGCCTGTGGGCTGGACATTCCCCTCCCCTGCTTTAGAGTGTTGTATTAACTGTAACAATAACATTTATTAAGCATAATGTATACCAATTTCTTTGTCAGGTGTTTTACATGAATTAGCTCATGTAATTGATTTTTAGAGAGAGGAAGGGGGAGGGAGAGAGAGAGAGACACTGATGTGAGTGTGAAACACCTATTGGCTGCCTCCTGCACACCCCCTACCGGGGATCACCCAGCTTGTGCCCTGACCAGGAATTGGCCAGGGCAGCTCATTTAATTTTCACCATGATTCTATGAGATATGTATTGTTATTATTTCCATTTTTACAGATGGAGGAATTTGTAAAAACACTGTATTTAGGATCAGAAAAGCTGTATTTGAGTCTTTATCCTTTATATATTAGTTAGAATAGCATTTCCTGAATTGATTCATTGAGCTGTAAGTAGATGTTCATTGACAAAAGGGCTTTTTATGAACATGTGTTTGGAAGATGCTGTGTACTATATTCCCTAGTGTAGGAAAACAAAAAAAATTAGCTGTATAATTTAACGTGTACACCCAGTCTGAAGTATCCTCTGCACTTTGTTACCTTATTTTAGTATTTTCAGAGCTCTTATCACTGACTGCAGTTATTTGATTAGCTTTTTTGTTTATTGACTGTCCCTTCCACTAGAAAGAATGTTCCATAAGAGCCGGCATTTTATTTATCTTATTTGTTGTCATACCCCTTAAAATCACATCAGTGCCTGGTATGTGGCAGGCATTCAGTAAATTATTTGTTGAGTGAAAGAATGAAGGTCTTTGAAGTGGCCTCTTATAAAACAACACTTGTTTTAACTTTAACCCAGCATTTTGAAATGTATTTGACGGTAATCTTTTTCTTTGTGGAACATAAAGAACAGTAATATTTTATAGGACTACTTGAGAAATGCTAGTTTGGCCACATAGTTTCAAAATATAATAGTCCCATTTATGAAATTTAGTATTGTGTTTACTTATGTAGGTATTTGGAGAAAATTAGAAATACAGTTTTTAGTGATTTATCCTACCTAATAAAGAGGGAATATGCTAATTGACCCTCACACCATCGCAAATGGTGGCGCCCACAGCCAATAAGGAGGGAATATGCTAATTGACTGCCCCATCCTCAAAGATGGCGGCTCCCACAGCCACAAGATGGCTGGCAGGGGAGGGCAGTTGGCGATCAGGCCAGCAGGAGAGGGCAGTTGGGAGCGACCATGCCAGCAGGGAAGGGCAGTTGGGGGGGACTGGGCCTGCAGGGGAGGGCGGGTCGTTCGACCCCCAAAGGGGTCACGACCCACA